AAATGTTGTTGGACAGGAAATAAATAAAAAAAAAATTGAAAATTCCGTTAAAATATTCTTAATAAATCTTGATGAATAGATGTCGGAAAAGATATTAATGAGCAGGGCAAGGATTTCTATGCAAAATGCATGTTTGTAGTCAGTAACTCAAAATAACTTTTAAGTAGTTTTCCTTTCGAATCAAAGATTTTGCAACAAAATGGCATCTATTTGTTGTTGCATATTTTTGCATATTTTGTTATAAATGCATAAATTGCATATTTTGCTTTAAAATACATATATTTTGCATATTTGTAATATTTTTATAGCATATTTAGCACATTTTTTTAATTTTCGAACACAAATTTTATTTAAAAACAAGTGTTATATTCTTATATACCGTATGCCGTAAATGGAATGCTCCTATATTAACATTAGGTTTATATTTGAAATAGGGCTTAAGTCAATTATGGAAATTATTAAAAACAAAATATTTTTGTCCAACTTTAGGGTCAATTAAAAAATTTGGTAGAGAGACTTTGGCTTGTAAGAAACTTACTTCTGTATATCGAATTTCATAGCTAGTAAGCAGTAAGTGTTAAAGTCATTTTCTGAAAATCGGGGGTAGGGTCAATTATGGACCGATTCTTATAAAATTCGGTAGAGAGATTTGTGCTCGTACGAAACTTACTTTTGTCGAATTTCAGCGCTATTTTCAAGCCAGTAGTGAGCATTAAAGTCATGCTCTGAGGGGAACCATATATGGGGGGTAGAGTATGTTATGGACCGATACTCATAAAATTCGGTAGAAAGATTTTTGCTCGTAAAAAACTTACTTATATCGAATTTCAGCTCTGGACTCGTATTTTTAAGCCAGTAATGGGCGTTAAAGTAATTTTTTGGAGGGACCATATACATATGTATGGGGGTCAATTATGGACCGATCCTCATAAAATTTGGTAGAGAGAATTTAGCTCATATAAGACTTATTTATGTCGAATTTCGCTATACTCGCATTTTTATAACAGTTATGACTGTTAAAGCTCTTTTTCAGGGGCCACTTGTATGGGGGCTATGCGAAAACGTGGACCGAAATTGCTCATATTCAATACCAAACAAACCTATAAGAAATATTTATAGAAAATTTCAACACTTCAGCTCTTTCCGTCCGATAAAGTTCTTGACAGTTGTGTCTGGGCTACTATCCAATAGCAGTGCAAATTTCAAATCGATTTTTTGAGTTTGGTCTTGACACGAGATCGTGATTCTGGTTAATTGGTATTAGAGTATCAAGATCATCAAGAACCTATATATGTATATGTTGTCAAAAACTAAAATTCTAAATATCTATACAAATTTACTCAAATATGATAAAAGAAAAATTAGTGCTAACAAATAAATTTCACAAAGAAAATTTTTTGGTGCATATTTTCCACATTTTTAGTGCATATTTTATAGTGCATGTTATAAGCGCATATTTTTAATTTTTTAGTGCATGAAAACCTTGCCTTGTTAGTGAGAATGATATACTCGGATCAGACGTTTTGTAATTCTGGAGTAAATGTCAAGATTTTTTTGAAAATTGTCTTTTTTGATTTTTTTTTTTTATAAACGTTCCAAAAAAAAAATCCCAAAATTTATATTTTCCCAATTTATATTTTTATTTTTGTTTCTGATTGATTGTTAGGTTCCCAAAAAAAGATGCAAGCACCTCAAAATCAATACTAATTTTCATTCAAATATTTTACAAACTCTACTGAAGAATTATGCTGAATTAAACCCTCTTTATCTCAAAATTTGACGCATAGGAAAAAATAAAAACTGAATTTCGATTAATAAAGGTAGGGCAAACAAGACACAAAAACCTGATATGATAAAATACATTTTTTTGTTGGCCTATGTTATTAAAAAATCAGTATAAATTAAACTTATACAGCATTTTCGCATGCTCCTCGAGAATTCTGAGTAAAATATGAGGAAACATAGTGTATAAGAAAATTCGATAAAATCACTCTGAACTATTAGTTATAAAAATAAAACAAATCAGAATGGGACCACAAATGGAACTACTTATTTCTCCTGATTGTTAAATATTAGTGTGTTTTGATGGATCAGATACACAGTCACTTTAAGTGAGGATAAATTCAATTGTCCAGTAGATCGGGACTTAAAATACTGGTCATAAAATTGGATTGATATTTTTCTTATAACTCTACAAAAAAACACAGCTTTATAATTTAAAGTCATGTGTCCAAAAAGTTAAGGTTCACTTGTCACTTAAAATAATATAATTTCTTTAGACCGTTAACTTATTTAAACATCAGCCTGAAAATTTGTTATTTAAAAAGTTGATGTCTATTTGTACCCACATTTTGATATGTTATTAAAAAATACTAGAATATTTTTTTCGATTCTCTATTTTCTAACAAAATTTCTTAATTTAAAGTTTAAACTTTTAAATAGTAAATCCCAATTGATTACAACAAAATTAAGGACGATTGACCTGTTATGTAACAAAAAAGCGGGATTTGTTATTGAAAAGCGGGATTGAAATCTAAGTCGGGATCAAGCAATTAAAAAGCGGGATGTCTGGTCACGTTAACAATGATAGAGAGTTGGTATCGGCATAGGAGGCAACCGTTGCCGGCCGAGTATCTAACTCATATAGGTTTTGTAATAAAATGTGTATTTTTAAAATATATTTAGAAAAAATGTTCTTAAGTTATTTTATATTAAATGATTATTTCCAACAAACATCAGCACAAACGCTTAATATCCCTTCTGAGTCGACTATGCTATGCCATGTAAAGCTTGTACGCACGTTAATTATGCAGAATTTCATCGAATACAAGATGACTTGAAAATGAAATAGCATCTCCCATATAAATTAAACATAGATTCCCACTTTATCAATTCTGCAAAAAGTTCCACTAGAAACGCTTCCTTAAGAAGGGGTTCTACTAGAATCGCTTTTTTAGCAAAAAACAAATGTTCACCATCATTTTATCAATTCTATAACAGGTTCTAAAATTCAGCTCATTCGGATCATAAAAGAATTTTTGGCGATTTTTAAAAAATGTGACAAACTTTGGGGGCTACTCACTGGCCCCCATTTCCGATATACCGAATTATTTCCAAATATAAAAGTTTATAAACCAGTGTGCACCGGTTGTAATTCATTTACCTTTTCGCAAGTGCACTGTATTTCGAATTGTAAGGGCCGGTTTCATAGTTCACTCTAGGGAACGAAATTATACTTCATACATAAACTTTTTCCATTAGGTAGAACTGTAAAACTCTCCCTAAGTGTTTTATTTAATTTTTTTTTTTACATTTATTCATTTATTTTAATATATATATTTTTATTTTTAGTTCCCATCATTGTTGCCATTAATAAAATTGATAAACCTGAAGCTAATGTTGTAAGTATTTCATACTATACTTAAACACTGAAGTTCTTAGACTATTTTTCGTTAATTTGTTGTAAAACCCCTCAAAAATATGACAAATTAAATATATTATCTTGTGTTAAAAACAATTTGTCACTTTTCATCTGTACTTTTAATTGTTTCTTTATTATTTTATAACAGTAAAAAAATAACATTCAATACAAATTTTAAATTTTTTACCGAACTAATTTAATTTAATTTTATATCACATACAATGTGGACATACATATACATTCACTGAAAAAATCCATGCCTAATAAATACGAAAAATGTCGTACATTGTACGAATCCTTCGTTGTTTCGCACCACGAAATTCTTTCGTAATATATACGAAATTGTACGAAATATTTTAGTATAATGCAAAATAATCTTGAAAAAATTAATTTACTTAAATTGAAAAAAGAGAATTTTGAATAAATATGGAAAAATTTACGAAATATTAATTTATGCAAACATTTTTGTTAATTTCAAAATATTTTTTCTACACTAAAAATAATCCATGCTTAACATTACGAAAAAAAATTTCGTAACTACTTTTTTCGTAATATAATACGAAATATTGTTTAATCAACCCCTTTATAATTTTACGAAAATACGAAAACCTGTCGTAATATCTTTTTCGTATATATTAAGAAACTTTGTTTTCTTTTACAAAAATAATTTCTTTAAGGCATGTAATATTTAACGAAAGTAACGATTTTTTTCGTAACAAGATTATTTAGTAATATACAAGAATTATTTTTGATTTAAAAAAAAGAAAATATATATTTTGCTAGGATTTTTTTTTTTTTGTTATTTTCGTAATTTTTATGGAGTTATATTAAACGTAATTTTAAATTTACAGGAAATTAGGCAGACAATTTTTATGTTTTTTTAAAAAACATAAAAAAATTGTTTTTTTTTAATTCGCAATCTTTTTCTAAATTTACAATAATTATTTTAAAAGAACTAACATATTTATGTATTTAAAAAAAATGTAAAATATATAAAATTATTTTGCATTTTACTAAAATATTTCGTACAATTTCGTATATATTACGAAAGAATTTCATGGTGCGAAACCACGAAGCATTTCGGACAATGTACAACCACACGAATTTTTAATTTTTTTTATGAAAATAATTCGTGAATAATATTATACTTTTCTTAAATTTTATAAAAATGTTGTAGTTTTATTTAATGATAATATAATTAATATCATTATGTTTAATTTCGCTAAAATTTAAAAAAAAAATATTACGAAAGGTTTTCGTACTTTCGTAAAAATAGAAAAGGGTTTTATTAAATAATATTTCGTATTATACACGAAATTTTTGTAAATATTACGAAAATAGAAGTTACGAAATTTTTTTTCGTAATGTTGAGCATGGATTATTTTCAGTGCAGAAAGCAGGACAGCAAGTGCCTTTCAGTTAAACTGAAATATTCTTTTAATTTCACTGAAAAGCTTATAAAATTATGCGTATAATGATATGCATTTTATGTCAGCATTGATTGCATAACTAACACTATCGGGTAGAAAATAATTTTTGAAAAATTAAATTTTAACTAGGTGGAATTTTTAAAACATAAAAAACCATTATGGTGAAATTGTTTGATATTTAATATGTAACAATTTCAATTATCTACATTAAAAAAATTCTATGTAAAAATTTGAAAATCTAAAAATTTTTAATACTTTTTTAATCGCACATTAATGTTTGATATGACATTTGAAACGCCTTTCATGTGATACCAAAATTGCGTATATTTTCTTTGTGATAAATGTGGAAAAAATCGAAAAAACCTCAAAAAGGACCTTTTTATTCTTTTATCCAGCTTGCCAAATATTGATGTCAGGACAAAAAAAAATTTGAGAAATGTTGTTTTAAAATCAACTAAATTTAAAGTAACATTATTTTCAAAAATAACATGGAAGTAAAAAATACATGCGGCAAAACATATTGGAATCTAAACTTGTCTTGATAATTGATTAAAAATCCAATCCAAAATTTCTTTAGTAGGTGTTTTTGGTATCAAAATAATAAGAATATCTCATATATTCATTGGTATTGGTTACCACTTCCAGGATTACACTAAAGAGTCTCTGTGGGCTTCCGTCCAAATCTTCTTGATTTATATCTGTTTTACAATTTCTTATAAGATTCCAATCGATTATGGGTCAGGAAACTTTACGGACCTTCCCATGCATTTCATTATATGTGTAGGTGCATAACTAATGTGCTTTCTAATATTGTATATATAAAAAAACTAAGTTTTCATTTACTAATGTTATGCAGACAATTTTTTAAACTAATCATAAATTATTTCAGGAGAAAACAAAACAAGAACTCTCTCAAATGGGTCTGACCTTAGAGGAACATGGCGGCGATATTCAAGTTATACCAATTTCGGCAATGAAAGGCACAAATCTTCCTTTGCTAGCAGAAGCAGTTAGTACACAGGCGACGCTAATGGGTTTAAAAGCAGACTTCACAGGTCTAATGGAAGGAGTTGTTGTGGAATCTAAAACAGATCCAAGACGAGGGTAAATACATATAAGTTAAATATTTCGTGCTTTCGCACAATTATTTTACGTTGCACTAAAAATGTGAGAAATATGAATATACACTGGCGAGCAAATGTGAGTGTATATTTATAATTTGTGCACTTTATTTGCACTTTATAAAAATAAAACTAAATATGTAAATCCAAAAAAGTTTTCATTCAAAAGAGCTATCCTATTTTAAGCATGAATTCTTATCCTCTAGAGCTTGTTTATTAGAAGATAATTATTGTGTAATTTCTTTAAGAAACTTCCATTAAAAACACAACAAAAATCATAAATTTACTGTTATTTCATTTCGTTGCGTTTTTTGTGATCGCGGAAAATGTTCACATTTTTCAGCACATATAAAATATTTAACTTTGAGTAATAGAAATTCGAACAAAATGTTGCTTATTTGGTAGCTCTAAGTTAAGAGAATAAACAGCAAAAAGAAGAGATGGATTCATTACCGTTATTTCGCGACAGACGAAATCAAAGATCTTATCGCAACGCGTTGCAATTTTTGTGCTCGCTACTGTATATCATATGCCCTACGTCAATTATAAGTATATTTAAAATATGATTCAATTTAAACAGTACCAATTTAATGTTGAATTTTACCTTAATAATGCATGTTTTATTAAAAGGATGAAGACTTTAAGACTTCAAAACATATTTTTCAAATAAAATATCGCAGACAATCGAATTAACTAAACTAATATTCGATTAACATAAAATTATTTCCAGAAAAGAAGATCCGCGATAGAAATCTATAAAATTTGTTGCATTTAAATCAGAAGAGTTTATAATATTATATACTAAGATACAAATTATGATATATATAAGATACAAAACTGTATATAAACGATAAAAAACGGCAGAAAAATTAGGCAAAAAATTTGCAATCTGGGGAATTTTAGATAGCTAAATTTAAAGTCTCCAAAAATATCGTGTAAGCGAGATACTTGGGGATCAAAGGTTACAAAAATCTGTTGAGAGCAATCAAATGCCAATTAATAATCAGATTAGTTAATCTAATCATAAATTTCTGATGTAAATCCCCTTTGATGTTTTTGAGTACAATATTAAATTTCGCAGTGTTGCCATACAAAACAACAGAAAATGTCACTGTTTGTTACCAAAACAATGCATGTTTTTAAAAAAGAAGACAATTGTAAATTTAATATGAAAATTAATGAAAACTTAAATTTAAAACCAAAAAAAATGTATTTTGGGTGTGCATAATTTATACTAATCAATAAATAGAACATTTTAATGTTTATATTTATAAAATTTGTATTAATTTTTTTTGCATTTCATGCTTAAGTTTAAACCAATTGTAAATTTAATATGAAAATTAATGAAAACTTAAAAACAAAAATATGTATTTTGAAGTGTCCATAATTTATACACTCCTCGCCACTTGAATAGCACATATATAATTTTTTTTTCAAAGCTTATATTTTTGGATCAGGAATTTCTGGAAGCTTGTTGAGCTGCCCTCCATATTCATCATACTTAAACATCATAGAAAACTTGTGGGAATGGGTTGCCCGAAAAGTTTATGAGTCTGGAAAAAAAAGTATTCAACATTTCCTGAACTAATCTATGCAATTAAAGAAGTCTGGAGCTCAGTGCAACTGAATTACATGGCCATGCTATATGAATCACTTCCAAACAGGATTTGTGAAGTGTTAGTCAACTAAAGAGGTTTAACACATTACTAAAATAGCTTAGTTTAATTTATATCGTTGTAAATAATCTAAATCAATAAGTTTTAATTACAAAAGTTGCTATAAAATCACTTTTTCTGGGGATATTCTATTCAGATGGCGAATTTTTAACATTAGCTTTTTGGGTTAATTTACAAAAAAAATTATATAAAATCAAATATTACAGATATGACAACTATTCGTATCACATTTATTCAGAACAAAAAATATTACAATGAGGGGAAAAAGCAAGTTTCCAGAAATTTCTGATCCAAAAATATATGCTTTGAAAAAAAAAAATTATATATGTGCTATTCAAGTGGCGAGAAGTGTACTAATTAATAAATAGAAAATTTAATGTTTATATTTATTAAAATTGTATTATTTTTTTTGCATCAGCTGTTTACACTTTTGCATTTCGTGCTTAAGTTTAAACCACCTCCATTGGGCGCCTAAACTTCCAAACAAAATTAACTAATTGAGTACTCAAAAACATCTTTCGAGGATTAATTTTAATTTAATCGCTAATCTTACCTAATCCCACCTAAAGATTGACCCTTAAACACATAAGACATATCAATGTTAAATTCTTAAAAATTTCAAGAAACGCTATTTTTATGGCGATTGTAATTTGTTCGAAAACTACAAAAAATCAAAAAGGTATAAAACTTTGAAGGATTATATCTTTGAAAGTTTATATCGGATTTTTTTATACCCTACACCACTTTAGTGGGGAGGGTATATTGGATTTGTGCTGATGTTTGTAACATACAAAAATATTCGTCCTAGACCCACCTTAAAGTATACCAATCGGCTTAGAATCGTTTTCTGAGTCGATTAAGCCATGTCCGTCCGTCCGTCTGGCTGGCTGGCTGGCTGTCCATGTAAACCTTGTGCGCAAGGTACAGGTCGAAGCCTATTGAAAATGGTTAAGATCGGTCCATTATTTCACCTAGCCCCCATAGAACAGAACCCCCCGAAAAGGGCTTCTGAGCTCATAATTATGTTAAATATACATATATATCGATAAAATACGGCACAACTAAGTTTTATAGAAGTCTTGATGACCCTGCCAAATTTCATAAAGATCGGGCCCCATTTGACCCTAGCTCCCATACAAAGTACCCTTCAGAAAATTACTTGAATGTCCCAAATTAATTTATAAACACAAATATCGCGATGAAATTCAGCACAATAAAATATTATGTAAATATAAATATATTCACAAAATTTTATTGGGTTTGGTCCATATTTGCCCCTAGCCCCCATATAAAGCTTCTTTCAGAAAATTAGTTTTTCATCCATAAATTGCTTAAATGTATCGGAACAAGGGAATATTGAAGATAAATGCTTTATTATGAAAAATAAATCACATTTAATATTCATAACTGGTGTAGGGTTACCACCATATATGGTCATATGGTCGGGCGTGGCCGACCATATGGCCACGCCCGAATATACTTTCTTACTTGTTTATTTTGAACCCAATCTATTACTATGGATGAGCTTCTTCATTCTAATATAATTTTTATATTAAAAAGTTTAAGATAATACATTTTTAAAGAATGCATTTTCTCCCTGTTGAAAAAGTTTTAAAAGTGCATAAAATGATTATTTGAAACTTTTATGCAAAATATGCAAAAAAGCATTTGTTAAAATGTTTTATATGGGAAAATTTGTAAATTTTATTGATATTTTATGCATTTAACAGAATTTAAAACTGCTTAAAATACATTACTGACCAGAATTGGTATGTAAATATTTAAAATCGATTACCACCAATGTTAAGCTGACCATACGTCCTTTTTTTTAGAGACTCTAATCTAGGTAATATTGGATTAATAGATAAATATTTGACAATATTCCAATTGGCCAGCACTATTTTTAGACAATTTGGAAATGCACCTCTGTCAACCAAATGATGGCCAAAATCATTTTATTTTCTTTTTCATAGTGTATATGTATGTTAAATATAACGCAATAATTTATCAAAATTTGCAATAAAAATAATTAAAAATAAGAAAATGTGCAATAGTGATGTTAATTTTGTCGCAAAATATTCGTTATTCTGATACTTTTAATAATTATTTAAAATTATATGTTATATGTAGTGTTTATAAACCGGTTACCAGGTTAATCTAACAACCGGTTTATATTGCATATTTCGGTTTTTTGCAAACCGGGTTTTTAAGACATTGGCTTTCGGTTAACCGAGTTATCCGGTTTTTATGTCTCGGTTAACCGGCTTCGAAAAATTTAAATTTTTAGTACAAAAATTTATGTTTTTTTATTTTTTATTGTGATTCGAATTTTTAAAAATTTTGAATAGATAATTCTAAACATTAATTTCCGTTTGTGTATATGAAAGCAGAACTAAGATTGTTAAACAAAAGTTAGGAAATGTTAAAAATATATTATGTATATAAAATGGAGATTTAAAATTTCAGACAATCAGGAAAACATGAGGCCACGACCCATAGTGCAATGTCTGTCTATCCATAATTTCAGATAGTAACACAGGTCTTATTTATAATTAGAATTAGAAAAAACTTGGTGATCACAATCCACATATTTAGGGTTATATTCTTACCAACTTTTATTAAAATCAGACTTTATCTTCAAATATTTTGTAGCAATTTTTGAATTTTCAAAAGAATAAAAACACAATATTGGAAACAAATTAAAGCCGATTGCCTATATTAGAGATAGTTGAAGTAGTAATCTAATTTCAATGAAAGTTAGTGGATATATTTTCCTGACTTTGTAGATTATGTCCACTAACTTTTCAAATTATATTCATAATTATGGCCTGTGACCTCATCGGAAATTTCCGATAGACGGACATTGCACTATGGACCAGAGAGTGATTCTGTTATAACGGGTGTAACAGAAATTAACATGTATCTTTGACTAATATTAGAAAGAAAAATTGTGACATAATCTCTATCGCCGTTTAAAATTGCATTTCGAAAGCGAAACGTTAAAATCTCGAATATTCATAACGCAGCTTCAGTAAAATTTTAAAATATTAACAAATGATTTAATTTTTTTGAACAGTATAAAGATTACTTTCACTGTTGCCAATTTAGCTATTTTCTCGTCAAATCTAGCGATTTTTAATCCCATTTTGCGGGGGAAAATATGATTTAGCTATTAGCGGGAAATCTAGCGATTTTTCTTTAGATTTTAAGGCATTTTTTATTCATTTATATGTTGATAATATCGCTTAAAAGTTGCTACGAATGACGATTTACATATATGTATGTATAAGTATAAAAATATGCATTCAATGTAAATTATTTGAGTTTTAGCTGTGTGTATTATACTTATTTTGAATGTTCTGAAGAACATAATTAGGAGCAAATATTTGTGCGTACAGGTAAAGTTATACGAAAAATTTTAAAAGGGGTATATTTTGTTGTACTCAAAAAACGAATATTTAATTATTCTAGTCTTTTAGTAAATGAGTGATATGATAATAAAATTTACCATAATTCTAAAAATTAGTGAACATTGGAAATAAGTGACGAAAGGATCGATCCATAAAGTCCTAAAAATTTACAACATTTCTAAGGCGTATAGGGCCGCATATCGATATTGCAGATAAACTTCCCACAAAAGGAGTGTATAATAATAATCTTGGGTGCCCCGGTAGGCTAGTTGGTAGTGTGCTAGCCTGTTCGTCTGAGGGTTGTGGGTTCGATTCCCAGCAGAGATCCTGGTCTGCTACACTACAACGGTCGTATGGTTATCGTCACCCTGCTCGGTAAATTAGGTAAGAATATAATTTGTAATTGTATTGTAATGGAAAAATAAATAATACTCTTATGCTGAAAATAAAGGATCGATCCATAAAGGCCAGCATTTCGAAATTCAATTTATCTTTACAACATTTCTAAAGCAATCTGTATAGGGTCGCATATCGAAATTAACCTCAACTTGACATTTTTCCTAACCCAAAGTGAAAATATTTAACATAAAAAAAGATTATCTTATGTGTTTGTTATAAGATGTGTTTGTATCACTATCCCATTCCTACGTATGTATATAGATTTTAGCGATAAATCGCTGACTTTTTAGAATAATATAAAAAATCTGAAAAATTTTGCTATTTGTTTTCAGAATCATATAATAAATATTATTTTGACGATTTATCGCTAAATTTTTCAAAATGTCTTGAATTTAGCTATTTTCTAGCTATTTTTCAGTCGACTTTAGCGATATTTTTGGGAAAAAAGTTGGCAACAGTGATTACTTTGTATAGAAGCGTTTTTGTCCGCTCTTATATAGTATAAAAATGTATGTTCATATGTACTATACCAAATATGTATATTTAATATAGGTATCAAGCTTTTATTTGTCATTAACATTTCTACATTTGTCTCCCACCTTTTTATACAAAACGCGCAAAAAGTGCATGCAATTTCTCATGCGTTCACTTATGACAAATTTATTAGAGTATAAGAATGTATTTAAAACGATTTAAATGGAATACGTACTAAATACATCATGAAATTGTCCCTTCTTCTTGAATAATTTAAAATGTTTTTTGCTAGAAAGAGTACATATCGCAAATAAATTAAAAAATAATGCTTTTATTCGGAAACTGCGAACATTTCGGAATGATCATGATTTTTATTCAATGGTCCTTCGCAGGAGCTTTTATATTATACCCCTAGCAACAAAAAATGCTTCGAAAGTTTGAATACATTTTCGGCATACTTTCAATTTGCGAAGTAATTTTTCACCGCCATAATAGTGTAGTATACATAGAGTTATTCACAATTAAATTAATATTATTACTATTATTATTATTATTATTGTTATTATTATTATTATTATTATTATTATTATTATTATTATTATTATTATTATTATTATTATTATTATTAAATTATAATAATTAATAGTTATTTGCTTTATTTTAAGAAAGCTTTCTACTGCTATAGTTAAACGGGGAACTTTACGCAAAGGATCAGTCTTAGTTAGTGGACTTGCGCATGCTAAAGTTAGAGGCCTATTTGATCATAATGGTAAGCCATTGGATAAAGCAGAACCGGGCACACCTGTAGAAATATTAGGATGGCGAGAATTACCACTTGCTGGAGATTTAATTCTGGAAGTTGACACAGAGGTTTTTTATATAATGTTGTTTTTAGAGTTAATGTGTTTATAATTTTTTTCTTCACTTTCAGAAAAAGGCTCATTCTGTCCTTAGATATCGGACCCACGAAGCTCAAAAAGAAAAAGCTGAACAGAGTCTTGAAGAAATACGTAAAAAAGAAGAAGAACATTTGGAAAAATATCGAGCAGAAAGAGACGCCCGTCGTTTAGCGGGTAGATTCCGTTTGAGACATGGTCCCAGGTCCAAAGAGACTTTACCAGATGACGGTACACCTCGCGTCAGTGTAATAATCAAAGGTGACGTACATGGTTCGGTCGAAGCCATACTTGATGTGTTAGAAACATATAGTGGAAACGATAAATGTCGTTTGGATGTAGTTCATTACGGCGTTGGAAATGTGTCAGAGTCTGATATTGAATTGGCAAAATCTTTCGATGCAATCATTTATGCCTTTTCGGTTGAACCGCCTGCTAAAGTTACTGGTGACGTTTCCATACGAGTTTGTGATATCATATATCGCTTAATTGACGACTTAAAAGAAGAAATCAGCAATAAACTGCCTCCATTAGAAGTAGAAGATATATCGGGAGAAGCAAATGTTTTACAACAGTTTTCTATCACGGAGGGACGAAAAGAAGTACCAGTTGCAGGTTGTCGATGCACAAAAGGTGTATTGAAAAGGGCATACCAATTTCGTTTAATGCGAAATGGAGAAACCATTTATGATGGTAAGAATACAACACATTTTCCAAACAAACATAATATGAATGTCTTTTTTCCATTACAGGACCTCTTGAATCTATGAGACATTTAAAGAATGAAGTAGATTCAATTAAAAAAGACGTTGAATGCGGTATACGCTTAAAAGACACCAACATCATACCTCAGCCTGGTGATATTATAGTTTGTTATTCAACACATACGGAGCCACAAAAGACTGATTGGGATCCAGGCTTTTAATGTTCCTCAAGAATAATACAAATCATTTACATGTAAATAAATACGCAAATAATTCAAAGATTTGTTTTTTGCAAATGAGTTCCAAATTGCAAATACATATAAAAATTATGCTAAAACATGAGTTATGTATTATTGCATTTTACGGGAAGCGAGATAAATATGTGCATACATACATAGTATCTATTCATCTTAAGTGTGACGTTGTGCTAAGCTATTTTACTTTAACCATACAATAAAATCAAAAAAGAATTGATTAATGATTTCTGCTTTACATAGGTCTGCACAGAAATCCTCCTTAAAAAAAAATTTTATAGAACAAACTGAATCTGCGTCGTCGACTGCTTCCTATCACGTCACAATTTCGAGTAATTCACTATTTGGCGAACTTTAATCTCAAACGATATTTTTTTAATAAACTTTAATAGTATTGTACTTACAATATTCAAAAGTATAGGATTACAAATTTTAAAATCCATAGGCAGCTCCATCTGATAGTTATAAGCGTGTAAAGTTCAAAAACTTTGAAAAAATTAAGAAATTTTCGACTTTTTATATAACATTTGTATAATATTTTTGAAGCTTATGAAATATTTGTTCAATACTGTCAATGAGGGTTGGATACACTAGCGAAAATATATGTATGTATAGTTATATGATGAAAAAATTGTATTGCTAATTTTACAAAATTAAACTTTTTTTAAATTTTTTTGCAAAAACATTTATTGGTTTATAAATATAGAAAATTCAAAAATATGATTTAATAATAAGCCTCGTAAATACGCATCTTTTGATGTATGTATGTATGTATGTATGTATGTATGTATGTATGTATGTATGTATGTATGTATGTATGTATGTATGTTATGTATGTATGTATGTATGTATGTATGTATGTATGTATGTATGTCTGTCTGTCTGTATGTCTGTATGTCTGTCTGTCTGTCTGTATGTCTGTATGTCTGTCTGTCTGTGTCTGTATTCTGTCTGTATTTGTCTGTTTGTATGTCTGTCTGTCTGTCTGTCTGTCTGTCTGTCTGTCTGTCTGTCTTCTGTCTGTCTGTCTGTCTGTCTGTCTGTCTGTCTGTCTGTCTGTCTGTCTGTCTGTCTGTCTGTCTGTCTCTGTCTGTCTGTCTGTCTGTCTGTCTGTCTGTCTGTCTGTCTGTCTGTCTGTCTGTCTGTCTGTCTGTCTGTCTGTCTCTGTCTGTCTGTCTGTCGTCTGTCTGTCTGTCTGTCTGTCTGTCTGTCTGTCTGTCTGTCTGTCTGTCTGCTGTCTGTCTGTCTGTCTGTCTGTCTTCTGTCTGTCTGTCTGTCTGTCTGTCTGTCTGTCCGCCGTCTTAACCAGAGGCCTACGGTAGGGCCACACTGCGGGAACTTTTTGAGGATGAAATTAAAGGACTGCTCTCGGCATATCGACATTTTAAATTAAATATCACTCACTAAAACTTAATTTTTAGACTCACACTTCTTCCTGAAATTGGTCAGGCATGCTTGCGAATTTTTGTTGATCTATTTGCCGTAATACATCATGATGTATTACGGCATCATTGATGCATCATTGAATAGAAAAACAAATACAACTTATATACATCCAGACATCCTTATAGTAAATATTACTTGTGTTAGTTGTTGTTGTTTTTGTCAATTTGTCCACATTATAAAATTTTACTTTAAAATTCTAACCAAAAATTGGATTTTTTAAAACACGTTTGCGAAAAAGTAGACATGATCTACTTTGTTACCACACCTGGATTCAGGAGCAATACGTCTATCCCATTCAGCCATTAAAATTTAAAGGAGCGCAAAAAACTTTTTTGCAGACCAGTGTTATTGGTAATACGATCTGTACGTTGTTTTTAAAAGTAAACATACATACATACATATGTATTTTAATTGCTAATTTGTCCACAGAACACAACGTACTTATACTTATACATAATTTTTTTATCTTAAAATTATAGCCCTAAAAAGAAAATAATATTTCCGGTTAAAACATGTAATTTGTTAGTTTTGTCGCTGTCCATTCCTACAGTCTCATAGAGCTGCGACAATTAGAAAGAAATTTATTAAACAAGCATTTAATAAAAATATTAGGATTTATAAATTTGTTAAAAATTATATTATATACATATGTATATTATATTATATACATATGTATATTAAACCATACTGAGACCTTTGTAATTATAAAAAATAGTTTGTACGACGACAAGTATACTGTTACATTCACATATTCGTACTAATACTAGTCACCCTTCACCCACATGCTTGGGATAAAATAAACAAAAACGAGATCATTGTGAGCGGAACTAAGTGTTGATAAGCAGCAGTAACGTATCAAAATCCATTTATTGTTTTGTAGAAAATGAATGAAAAATTTAAATACTTCATTGAAAGTAAAGAATAATTTTATCGTAAAAAATATATTGCAAAAAATGGGTCATTTTTAAATCATAGAAAAAAAAACAAGCAAAATTAATGTTATGTATGTATAAAATTATATAAATGAAATAATGTATTTTCATTTATGGAACTAAATATTTACAGTGCGTTGATAATGCTTTTGGTTAAATACTTCCTTTGGCAAAAAAAATAAAACAAAAATTTATGTCATTAACTAAAACTACGCACATTCATTCAGTATTTCTCTATTAAATAATCTTCAAAACATACATACATAATATGTATGTAATATATACATACTATACATGTACATATATAAATAATTTTTGAGTTATTTTTATTTTTAGAAAATTGTTATCGTCCTAATATGAAAACAAAAACAACTTATTAATTAGGGGTATATATTTTTTGTCGGTATATACAATTTAATTATCTAAATTTTTGTAATAGATTATTTTGACAACTTTTATATAATTTACTTTTTTAAATTTTGCAACAAATTTCTTCTGATAAAAAAGAGGAAATAGTAAACATCGTGTCGATATTCAGCATTTTTTAATAGTTTTTTGATACATTAGGACCTTTGTATATTAGCACATTGAATTAATAAGAACCATTAATGTTATTTTCATAGTTTTTTATGATCAGAGATTATTTTAATAGTTTAAATTATTTTCCAACATTTTTTTGGTATTTCGAACAAAAGTTCGAATGGTTTTAATCCATAGATTATTTTAAAATCTTTGGAACTTAATTTCGAATATTCGAACTTAATATTGTAATGCCTTCGTCAGTCCCTTTAGACTACAGGAACTAGTTTTAATAGACTTAAATCATTAACGAACATAAGTTCAATTTTTCGAAGTTTTTTTATTTTTTTATTATTCAAAGATTATTTTAAAACCATTAAACATGTTTCGAACTTAATTTCGAATTTTCGAACACAATACTATATTGCCACCATTGCAATCATAATTATCAAATTTTAGTCAATTTGAACTACAGGAACAGGTTTAAGTAGACTCAAAACATTTTCGAACATATGTTCGAATTTTCAGATTTTCTTTTTTAGGTTTTCTATTTTTCTAACTTTATTTCGAATTTTCGAACTTAACCCAAATATGTCCAATGACCTATATATAGTACACATAGTTTTTGTTTATAGGATCCGTCACGTTTGTTTAAGTTTCGTTTTTTTTTTGTTCACATACATATTGTGTGATCGCATTTTTTTTATACTAATTTTGAGTTATAGAATTTTTAAATTTGTCATATTGTCATAATGACTAAAATTGGGTAAGTCCGATAAGTGAATATGTGCTGAAAGTAAAATTTTGTACATTTACAAGTAAATTAATACAGATTTTTGCTCAAATTATATTTATAAAGTTATATGCGTCAAAGTTTCATTATTGTGTTTTAGTTTTCTTGTTGTGGCCCCTTTGTCCTATATATAGGACGACTTTAAAAACCACTTTTTTCAATAAATTTTTAAAAATGTATAATTGCATTGTTTTTTATTTCTCATTTGCTTCCAAAATAATATAAAAGTAGCTTTAAAATGATCATGCTCTAGCAATGGGCATATCTGGGTTAACTTCGAACATTCGAACATTATATTATGTATGTGTTCCTCTGGTGTACATACTCATAACTTCCAAATTTCAGCTACGGGAACTGATGCCAATAGCTTTTAAAGTTTTTGTCAGACACTTTTTCTGTCTAATTTTCCATTAAAATACGACATATGTACATAATACCATTTTTAGTGATAGATTTTCAACTTAGTCATATTACTGAAGAAAATCGACATACATATGTAATACCGTTTTGAAAATTCGAGAGAAAATCGACGTGACTTCGACATACATAATAAGGGTGAATATAAAATACATCACGTATGCTGGACAGTTTGCTGCATATTTTGCCATCAAAATCTAATTTTTATGAAATTGAGAGATAGCGACTATTGAATGTAGTCCCTCGATATGAATATACATTTATTTTTCAATTCATTAATATTGTGAATCAAATCGAAATTTTACATTTTTAATTTTCATGTAAACCCTAGGAAAATTATATATTTGGAAAAAATGCAAATAGTAATGTCCCTAATGTAGGTACTCCATATTTACATATGTATGTATGTCGTCTGTGTGTATTTAACCATTCTAAGCGGAAGTTTTATATGTATGTATTTGTTTTTTAGTGGTTAACAAAAAATAATCAAATTGTTTTTTGTGCATAAAAAATTAAATGTTAAACTTACATAGAAGAACGATGGTTAATAAAACTTTATTTTAAATTTTCTCCATTTCATATTAATATTTGTTTGTGTACAAATGTAGAAAAACTAACATTTTCAACAACAAAATCAGAATTATTTCCTTTATAAAGATGATTAGATGCTAATATGTCAGAAATTTTAAATATTGAATTTTAATTTAGAACTGAAATTTACGCAATATTTCAGTTCTATATTAAAATATATGGGCAGTTCCAAAATGTCGCACGCGACAATCGAACACATTTAAAGCGATAAAAATTTAAATATAAATCTTATTTTTATATAATCGCTACAAAAATAGAAGTTGTTTTTTTTTTGGCCAATTGAATCACCGATTTCAGCGAAACCTGAGGTCGTATTTCAATGAGAAT